AGTTACGAGGGATGGTAAAATTAAATTCCGAATAACTCGAAAAGTTTTTACTTTTTTGTTGATATTGTAATAGTTTTTTTTAAAGTTTACGAAATTTCCTAAAAAACAAAATAAAATCGTTAAAATCGAAATATTAGGAGCAAAATTATGGTCTCCGGTTTTTTTTATATGTTCTACTCCAAATGTTATATCCTTAGTTTGGTTTTTAAATTTTGAATGTGTTACTGAAGTAATGTTATTTTTTTTTTAGCATATTACTAATGATTAAAAAAGAAGTTCAGTCCAATAATTGGAATCACCTTTTGTTTATTTTTCATTGTAACTTGGAAGGTAATGTTACTTTAGATATATAATTGTTTGGAAATAATAAACCATTGTGAAATAATTTGAAGCGTTTTTTTTTACTTTCACACTATGTAATATGTAGTAAGGGTAAGTATTGCGATCGTAAAAATTTTTGAATCTAAGTTTTAACGGAAATACATGTTTTGAGATCTCTTACGTCCAAATAACCAAGTCCCAAAAAATGGTCTTTGTGTTTAAATGTTATCAGTATAGCACAAAAACGAAAACTCGTACGAAACTGATATTACGTATTTAAGATAGGTATATGCATTAGGTGTGACAGCAACTTTTTTCATAAAATCTGCTACCAGGAAGTGCCACTTTATGTCAATGGAGATACACATTTTTACAATTTCCTCAAAAACGGCTCAAACGATTTTGATTAAACTCGGTGTATCATTTATTTATTTATTTTAAATAATCAACTATCTCTCATTGTTAAGAGTTACGAAAAAATGCTAAATATAACTTTTGGAAGAATTTGATAATTGAATAAAGGAGAAAAAAATAAAAATGCTTATCTAGGTCGAAAATGAATCTCAGGAAATACTAGTTAGAATGTATACGTATAATAAATCGTTAGAAAGCGGAGAATTTTAGAATATACAATATCTAATGTAGAGAGTTGTAGAAGGTAACGAAGAGAGTAAAAACAATTATAAATAATAATTTTTGAAAATTAATAATATTCAAAGTAAATCACATGTTTTCAAGTAAATTAAATGAAATTTACTAAATAAATGTAACCTTTTAAAATATTATTAAGTTCGAAAAAAATATTTAAAATCCACATAATCCATGGGCACCATGTTTTTTTTTGCATATTTTTACTTCATGTTTCATGTTTTTCCCCATTATTTTATTTAATGCATCAAGCCATGTCGTCGGAAATCATCTTTTATTTTGTACGATTTCGTTATTGTTAAGGGACATTGCAGCAGAATAATAGAAAAATTCTATTTCTATTTTTACCTTTGAGGCAAATACAAGTTTAGACCTGCACTTTAGTATATTGATAACTTATTTAATATCATATGGCGGATGTTAATAATTTAATAAAAAGGGGTCTGACTAAGGGTTATAAATAATTCATAACCGTGTTTGTCTTGAAATGTTTAGATGAATTATAAACATGAAACTTTCAAAAGCAAATGAATCAAGGGAGAGGACTAAAGGAGAGAAAAGTGGAAAATGGCGCACTAAAACTCTTTCATGAAGGAAAAAATGAAAGCTCCCTTAGTGTCAGGTACGTATTCAGACTTAACTTCGTTAATGTGTAAAAGAAAAATTGAAAAACAAAAAAATAAAAGCTTTTAAAAGAGCGGCTTTCTTAATGAATGACTAATTAATTCAATCCTAACGACCAATAGGGATGAAAAAGTGCTAGGGAGTCATCCCTCGTCGGTGCGCACGCGGCTTGCACCATCCGGGGATAGAGAGGGGATAAAAATACCACCAACCCTAGAGGTACTAATCTGTTTAATATCTAACATCTTAAACACATTAATTTAAATTTAATAATAAGGGTACGGGGTGGCCGAATGGGCTAACGCGTGTGCACAGTACCGTGAGTTGCCCGGCAACCAGATAACCGAAGTTATGAGATTAAAAAAAACATGAGTTAGCGTCCCGGTGATGGAAGGGATTCTTTCAATTGGAAGGGATCATTCACCGCTCATCACCCTCCGACCCAGGAAAATACCATATAGCCTAAAAAGTCGAGGTGAGAAGACAAATAAAAAAAAAATATGAAATAATAAAAGTATATAAAAAAAAAAATGAATTATTAAAGTCGGTAAAAAAGATTTTGTTTAGGTTTACGAATGTTAATATACATACAAAGTTAAGCAACGCCGAGTGTGGTTCGTACTTAGATGGGTGACCGCCCACACCAAGGAAAGCCACGCTGCTACCCCTTCCCTGGGTAGACGGGGCCCGTCAGCCTACTGGAGGAAACTCACACCGACTGGGCGTAGGATTGGTGGTCCTTCACCGTACTTTAAATCGGAAATCGGGATGAGGCCTAGAAGATCTTCATGGTCTGTAGCGTCATCCGAAAACATGGAGAAGAAAGACCAATAAAGAACTGCTTACAGAAATTAGTCAATCAACATTCCATGATATGAAGGCACGGAGGTTAAGATGGGCGGGGCATGTAGCTCGTAGTAATCCATCTGGTACTCTACTTAGCAATGAATGCCTCAATAAAAGCAGGCCTAAATAAAACAAGGTGGCGTGGAAGGCTAAAGAGCAGATGGATAGATAAAATCAACAAAGACGAAATAGAGCTGCGTGAAGTTAACTGCAATGGAATAGCCCAAGACAGTCAGAAATTGAGCATACTTGTTAAGGCAGTGAAAGATATAGGAGGTCTTTAATGCCAACAGGAAAAAATAAAATATATACATATATTTGTAATGTGAATAAAAAAAAAAAAATTTACAGTTGGTCTTACCAAAAGGCAGCGGATTGGTTTTGATTTCGATTTGTTATTACCATTATTATATTTTTAGGCTTAATTTTACCATACTTATAATTTATGTTTGTTTCAATAGATGGGAGTAAACAACGGTAGCAGGTAACTACAAAAAGAAGAGAAAAAGCAAGATAAATAATAAAAGAAACAAAAGAAAGGGGAACACGAGCTAAGTGAGTAATGCAAGTCTTTGATACATTGCTTCATTAGAGAGCGTTCTACGTACTTTTGCTTCAGCCTTTGTATACTACAATTAATGAGGTCAGCATCGCACTCAGAGGTCTGGCTTTTCTCGTAACTTAATGAAGGGTCAGGTCCACATTTTTTTTTAAGGAGTGTATGGGTCCTTTGACATCAGGGTCCAATACCCAGCCTGGATATGAGCCTGAGTCCTTGTGTTGAGATTCTTATGGATAGCCAGTATGGCATTCGCTTTCCTGTTAATACTGTCGCTATAAAGTTTAGCTTCGACAGTTGATAGTACCTATCAACTGTGAAAAAGGCCTTAGGTACAATTTTATAAGTGCGGTTTTGAACTTTACTAGTCAAACTTGGACTTTGTCTTAATTCGGAGATACAAACCAAAAATATGTTTTCCTTAAGCACGCAGTAAAAAGTTAAGGGAAATCTAATCCATAAAATAAGACGTACGTGCTTTCGGCTTGTGAACAAGTTTTTCCAGTTACAAGCTTTATGAGAGTAGCTGTCACTGTAGGAGCGCGGATGGTGAAAAAACCTTTTTTCTTGAAAAAGTAACTAAACAGCCTAAACTTTTATATTAAATAAATAATTTTCATTATACTCCTTACTCGAAAAAAACGAATATTTAAAAAATAATGAATATTATTTACATTTAAAATTCTTCATTTATTGACTAAACATTATTGTTGCTGAAAGTAGTTGCTAGAGTGTTATAATATAATCCCTTGGAAACTGTTTTAATTGAATTTAAGAAACAAATTAAGGAAAAATGTTGTGTTTTAGGTTCCTAGACGTCAACTATTATTATTATTATTATCCATATAAGGATTTTTTACCATTATTCTATGACAAATTACTGGACGAAAACATTTCTTTACCTGTTTTGCAAGTGCGTCTGCCCCTCAAAACTTTGCTGAATCCACCAATAGTGGCTGTCAGTATATTCTAAATTAAATCTTATTTATGGTAACAAGGAATAACTCGATATGTGGCAAATGGTACTCATGAGTTATATGCATTGTGAAGGTCTTCTAAGTCTCACTGAAGATATTTTAACTACACTTATAATCTGCACATTGTTAAAAATTATTATGAATGAATTAATGAAGATAATTTTATTATTCTGGGACTAGTGTCCCTTTAGAACAAATCACAAGTACAGAATATATATTAATATTCTGGTGTGTCTATAAAATACAATTAAATATTTACAGGATGATTAGGAATACAATAAATATGAAATAAACAGAGAAAGTAAATTAAGTAAAAAAAAATAACAATGAATAACAAAAGTATCTGGATGTTCTTTGAGATTCTTACAACTTATGTTTTTAAGTGCATTTCGTGAGCAATCGGATTGGGATTAGGTGTTTGAAGAGGAGAGATTTGAAAGAGGATACTGACTTTGCGTGTCGAATATCTGAGGAAGTTCTGGAGGAAGAAAATTTGAATTAAAAAGGATTTGTCAAACGCAGCAGTTCGGTGAGGAGGAGGATAGAGGTCGGAAGTGCGGGATCTTGTGGGACCGGATTGAAAGGAGCGTTTGAATTGTAGGATCTGTAGAATATAAGAGGGTCGCCGAGTTCTAATGGCCTGGTATAGGAAGGTAGCAAGGAAATACTGACGGCGGTAGGACGGATAAAGCCTCTTCAACTCGGTGTGAAACTGGGTAAAATGCGTATCCCTTGAGATCCCGAAGATAAAGCGGGTTGAGCAATTGTGCAGAAGGTTTAGGGAATGATCACGACATCTAACTAATGAGGACAATTTTTCGACTTACCGAGACATTCCCTGTTACCATCGATATAAAAGCGAACTGAGCACGAGTTGCCCCCACCATTGCAACAGTTGCACTGCCACCCATATAATTAGCGGCCGGTATTATATTTAGTCGTTTATTTATTTCGAACTTGAGGACGGTACGAAAAGGGAAATTGATTTATTGAGAGAGCGTGTGTGCGTGGAAGGCGGTGGAGTTATGATACCCTTTATAACTGTTGGAGCTGCCCCAGGACGCGAGGCCAACCGAGCTCCTCGCTTCGGGCGGGGTATCCTCCGCTCATCGTATAATTGTCAGACAGGGTGTCTCCTACCCCCACCCCTGTCCTTTCTGGAACGATCAGGTGGATACCAACAGAGATTTCGTTTAGTTGGCTGCTGGAATCATTATTGATTATATTGACAGAAAAGCTATGGAAATTTCAATATAAGCCATTAAGATAAAAAAAAAAAAAACTTTAGTGAACATAGCTCTCTATATCATTCTTCGCTGGCTTTAGTACCAGTGAGAGTATCGCAGGGATCTCTTGGAATTCCACTTTTCCCTCCATAGTTGGAGTAATAAGCCTGCCTCGGGGTACCCTTACCTGATGGTAAATAGTGTTTATATTTATATATGCGTTTTTTGTTTTGTTTTATTTCCCTATTTATAAGTTATTTTATATAATTTATTGTACATACTTTCCGAGTATTATTTAATTGTTATTTTGCTTCTGTTTATCTCATATTTTTTGTACATATAGTGTGAATGTGATCTTACGTCACTATAACCAATGTCCATGTGACAGAATGTTGTAATAAATAAATTTTATCAGTGTTAAATATGCACAATACATTTTTTATTATTTATATGTATACTATTTTATTATTTATATTTATTTATTATACCGCGGAAAGTATGTAAGAAATCAAAGTAAAATTATACATGGTAAATAAGGATAGCAAACGAAACCAATAAAATGTATTAAATTCATTGATAATAAAAATATTGCCTAATACCAGAGTAGATATGTGTTAATTCTCTCATGTTTTTTTTTTTTTTTTTTTCCTACCCCCCAGGAATTTCTTGAATAAATACAGTATGTATATAAATGTACATATACATAAAGCTCTCATGTTTTTATATGAGTGTTGTTTTTGTATCATTTCCGATTTCTAATAATAATGGGTCTAAAGAAAATTTCTCTCATCTCGTGTTGGCGAGATTGAAAGAAAATTAGATTTTTTTTTTAAATGTATTATTTAATATTTTTTGTACATTTAATGTGAATGTGATCTTACCTCACTATAACCAATGTCCATGTGACAGAATGCTGTAATATTCAATAAATAAATTTAATCAGTGTTAAATATTCAGGACGCAGTCATTATAAGGCTTTTATTAGTGCCGACGTTTCAACCCAGGCATGTGGGACATCACCAGGGTTTCGTTCGCACTGCAGTTGTAGTCAAGTTGAGTACTTGAATATCTTCTGTGCTCGAACCACGTCCTGACGATTATTTTTAGGTTGAAACGTCGGCATTAATAAAAACCTTATAATGACTGCGTCCTGAATATTTATCACCCATGATATGTAGAACTACCTTCCTTCAATAATTAAATAAAGTTAATAATCAGAGAAAGTAACTACACTATATTTTTACTTTGGACATAGAGAAATCCAGAGATCAACTTTCCTAAAATAGTCTCAGATTGATTGAAGATTCCAAATAAATAGCCTCGCTCCTCTCCAAATTACGTTTGTCAGGATAAGGTTTCGCCGATTCCAGACAAACGATTATCAGCCAATTACCAATGAAATGGTAGCATATTTCGATGAGTGCGATAGAAAACAGTCCTAAAGAGAGCTGGAACACATCCTTGATGCAGGATAAAACGATTAAAAGTGCTGTTAAGTGGTGTCAGAAAGTAGTTTTGAGTTTTTCATCAAATGCTTAAAGGTTTTCATAACTTAAGTAATTTTAAATGTTAATATTATGATCGTGTGTTAATTTATTATTTCAAAATCTCATTTGAGCTCCTTTACATAAGCAGCTGTTCGGTTTTCCTCAAGAAAGTGAGTAGATTAAATTCTGGATCTAACAAGATGAGAGAAAATATACCGAGGAGGATAGCTTCGTCTAAAAGGTCGTATTTTCCTCCCATCTTTATAAGGAAAAAAAAAGAGATTGTATTGTTTCGTTAGTAATCTCCGGAGAATATCGAAAAAAATTATAAAATCAAATGAACTCGTTTTTCTTTCACATGTTTATTTTTTTAACACTTAAAAAAGTCAACTCATTTTAACACTCTGGGATGTTGTACATCCCAAACTTTAAATTACCACACAATTTAATTAGCATGCTCTGGAAGACTCAAATAGTTTTCAGAAAAAAACTTAACAAAATAAGAAATAAATTCAAGGTAACCTTATAGAATATATTTTAAGTGCTAACATAAAGTAAAAAGTTAACATTTGCATCGCTAAAAAATCAAAAAAAGGATCAATATTTTTCTATTCAAAATACATTAAATTTATATAAATATATATAATAAAGGAAAAATATTTTTTTTTAAATAAAATAAAACCCATAGAGCCATTTATGTGATCAAGCACTCATAACGATCCTAGCAAACCATCGCCCTGTGTTCAACTATCGACTTGTTTTTCCAACAATAATCGATTATTTTTTTATTTTTCCGAAATTTCTTTTGTACACACAGTTCGTTCGAGTGTCTCCACTTGCAGTCTTCTTTTAAAGAAACAGGGCTCAAGTAACGAATAGCCAAATCCAAATATATAGTTTCTTAAGGGCGTTTTGTTTGATCATTATCTGTAATACTATATAATACAACAACTTCCATCAAAATATGTCTGGAATTGGCGAAACCGATTTGTGATAAACTTAGTTTAGACCATGATGTAATTAATCGATATTTAATCTCTTTTTTTAGGGTTATCTAACTAATCTAGTATTATATATTTTTTTTTTCCAGTCCCTTTATTATATTTGAGAAGGAGTTGATTGGGGGGTGCGGTCAAATAAATACTAAATTAAACAGTAATATAACAATAGTATTATTTAATTTAGTATAGTATTTGTTTAATTCATTCCGATCAACTCCTTCTCATATTATATCTACGGTCAACCATCTTTACATCTTTATTATATTTGAATTAAATATCATGTTACCTTCAATATCTAACTAATTTCTTAATTTATATGTGGTATTCAACACGTATTATTGAGATATTGATTATTCTATGAATGTTTCTGTATTCTATTTCAATATTAAGGTATTTGGGTCGGGTTGGATTGTGAACGGAATCAATAATATATATAGAAGAAAATACGTGATATGTATTTCAAACAGAAGAAAAAGAAAAGAAGAGAATAATAAAGATTTAATTGAATCTACACTGTATAATTTTATAGACGTTTGTGAATAATGACACCCTTTTTTTTTATTTTTTTTTTGGATGTCTGCATATAATATCGGCCAGTTCGTTTGTTGGAGCGAGCAGAAATGCGAACATACAAACATATGGCGAACATACTCAGGAATAGCCGGACTATTGCGGAGTCTAGCCGTGATTGCCTCTATTTCTGTTGCAGGTCCAAGATGGAAGCTGTTCGCTAAAATAAGACGGTCGGCATAACTGGTCCAGATCCGAGCTCCCTTGTCTCTGGCCTTTTGTTTCTTTTTCGACTCATCTTCTAGGCGAATTTAGGCACGGGCCCAAAATCTGGAGACCGGGTCGTCATCTCCCGACCGAGCACTATTTATATCCTAAATTTATTTCCCTGTGCTAGTTCCCCCTACCAAACAATCTCTCCTGTTTATTCCGAAGTCGGGCGATGCCCCGTCGAAGGTTGCATATGTCTACTTTATTTCAAGAAAAAGAATCCTGATAAACAGGGTGCCCCGTAAGTAGATAGAAATATTTAAAATGTTCATAGTAGACATCATGATCTACAAAAAACTTTACATAAACAATTGCCCAATATCCAGCAGAAAAGTAGGAAATTTAAGATTTTAGTTTTTTAACTGACTCACATTTTTCGATGAATACGAAGCGATAACTTAAAAAATATTTGATATAAGCAATTAAACATTGCTCCATAGACAATTAGATAAAATTAACTGTAAATGAAAGTAGTGTTTGTTATTGTTAAAATTATTTAGAGAGGACTATTGGGCAGACAAACACAGCTAGGTTCCGTTTAAAAAAAAGTCCCAAATTAATATTGGTGATTTTTTTTAACACCCTTCAACTTTACTAAATTAATCCCACTTTTAGAAAAACTTCTTCGTTTAATAAATTTTAAGTCTATGTTAATTAAGTTGAGGTTTATTAGGAAAAAATTCGAGATCCAATTGAGTCTTTCTCCCAGATTTCTGTCATAGAAATTAATGCGTACTTTAAAGTGACAAACTCATTGATACTTTTCGCTGAAAAAAAAAAAAAAACCTGCTGATTGCTTCAGTTATTTTCTTTAAAACATAAATATTAGAGCTAGAAACATTAAGTTTGTCATTCATTAATTACGACTCAATTGCTATGATTGAAATCTGGGATAAAAACACAATTACATAATCATCTTGTAACAAAAATATTTAAAAAATCGTTATTTTAATTTTATTATTTTTACAAATATAATGAATTTTAACGCAATTAGTTTTATTACAATACATCCCATATCATGAAAAAAAAAAAACAAGAAATAAAAGCTTTGCAACTGTTAATTGTAATCATATTTGCTGAAAACACGAGTACTTTTAAGTGAGTGGATAGGAGATCACACCATTTCTTTACACAACTTGAGGTGAATCTAAACAATTTTTCCTAATAAATCTCAACTTAATTGATATAAAATTTAAGCTCATTAAACGAGAAAGTTTTTTTGAAATTTGGGGTAAATGATGTACAGTTGAATAGTGATAAAAAAACAAAACAAATAATTTATAATTTTTTTTTAACAGGGACTAAGCTGTGATTATCCTCAGAAAAGTCCTCTTTCAATAGTTTTAACAATGACAAAATCTACTTTCATTTAAAGTAAGTTTTGTCTAGTTTAAAGTGGATCAATGTTTAATTACATAAATCAATTTTTTTTTAGGTTATCTCTTCCTATTCGACAAAAACGTGTACAGCTTAAAAAAGCATAAATCTTAAATTTCCAAATTTTCTGCTGGAAATCGGATATTTGCTCATCTTGATGTTTTCTATCAATGCATTTCACTCTACTTACAGGACACCCAGTGTATACTCGCACATTATAGAAAATTAAATATATTCTTAAGTAACCTTAAATAAATAGGGGCTTCAGAATCGTTTACAGAGTTACTTACAATACCTCA